AATGAATAGATCTACCGGACCTAAATTCTCCATTGAGAGATATTAAAAACGGGGAAATTATGAATTCCTAAGGTTGAGACATAGGCAAAGTCAGTCCGCTGGTCTGGTATTCTTCAATCATACCTGCAGATGTCACTGGCCCAGACAGAAGCCCAATTTTATGTCCGTGCCAGAGACAGTGGTGGGTGAGTACCGGTAGCACGGCAAGTTGCTCTTGGCCAGTGTTGGCAAGCCAAGTTCGGCCAGGCCTAAGTTAGGTCACCAAATCTGGAAAAATCAGGTAACATTATAAAGCATTTCCTGTTTTTGCCATATTGTCTTCCCAAATCATCAAGCAAGATGGCAGCCTGCATAGTCAGTGTATAGTCAACAGAATCAGCAATGCCTGCAGTGCTCTAACTTTCAGGTTTCTGTCTTGCAGTAACACTCTGCGAACGATAAACCTAGCCAACCTATTTGCATAGTCTGGTTTGTATGCCGAGTTATTCTCTTACATTCCGGTAAATCATGGATTTTGGAAGCTTCCTAAGGAGAAAGGAAGGTAAATATTTGCCAGATTTATGAATCTAAATCTAAAGTAAAAGGCCACCTCTATGCGAGTCTTTTGGCTATTCTCACCCGGTGTGCGTTCACCGTTATACCTAAATCTAGGCCAACCAATTATTATTTTGCTTTCACCCTGAACCACAGAATTCTACACTGTGATAACAGAAAAATTGTAGATTTCTGTGCCGTGAACAAACATTCCATTACTACTGTTAGCCTGCCCTAAAAGCGTACAATTTTGTCTGTGGGCAGTGGAGAGAGAAAGTGAAAGAGAGAGAGAGAGGAGTAGATCTAGCGCAAGAACTTCTGACTTCTGTGCAAAACTAACTAAATGGCGACCTGCGTAGTTCGGCTCGATTCGAAAAGTGACGATCAAATTAGCTTACTTTTGTGCTATAACGTAATTTTTTCTTTGCTTTTATCCATTTGATCATCCAAACCGATAGAAAGTATTCCGAAATTAGGAAAAGGTAGTGTCAATTGCCACCGAGTGACGCAGTGGCAATTGACAAAAATTGACTTTTTGTAGTGCTCGAGTGCTCGGTGTTGTGCGTTCGCCTCTCTGTCCCTCTGATGAGTGTGTGTGTGTGTCTAAAGTGTCTTTTCCTGACCCCCGTCCCCCGATTTATGTTCCCCGATATAACGTAATAACGTGAATTTCTGCTTGAGTTTGTGTGCGTTTGTGAACCTTCTACTTCTAGAATTGCCTGTGTTGGTTCTACATCAAAGTGTAGGCTAAGGCTAGCCTAGATCTAGGCCTACGTCTCATTGAAAACACGCCAAGTTGGTACCGTAGCTCTAGACTAGATGCTCGTCCAATGAAATTATTGAGAACAAATTGACCCATTAGACACACATTATACAATGCTAAAGATAGTGTTGTTTTCAGACTTGACACCGCTTCACTCGGTGGCAATTGACAAAAAGTCAATTTTTGTCCATTGCCACCGCGTCACTCGGTGGCAATTGTTATTGATGCTACCTTAGGCTAGGAAAAACAGGTCTTGTTCCACACCGGGTGAGAATAGCCAACGGTGGCAAGTCTCACCCGGGGTGAGAGGTCGTTCGTATTTTATTCTCACCCCGGGTGAGGATAGCCACTTCCAAAGTAAAAGCATGAAGCTGCAGCACTGCAGTGGGCACCTTCTCTGTGATTGGCTCAAATATAGATGACATATATCTGACATCTATCTAGATCTAGATTCTAGGCCCATTTTTGTCGTAGGTGATTTTGTAGTTTCGTTCATTCCAAAGCCGTACGCCAGAGTCGCCAGAGACCCTGTGAAGTTGACAGGTAATCGCAGAGGAGTGAACTAAGCGTGAAAATTCTGTTAAAGTCGAACGTCGGCACCTCGGGACAGAAAAAAGTGTAGGCCTTTATTATCTTGTTACATTGGTTCAACTCCCCCCACCCATTTTACACTTCTTATTCTTATTATCGAAGAGCCTTTCTTCCCCCCCTCCCCTCATTCCAAGTGTAGGATGGAAGAGGCTAGCCGTACTTAGTGACGGCTTGACTGCTAGGCTAGCTGTACTTAATGTACGGCTAGACTGACAAATAAAAATAAAATCGAAGAAGTGGATAACTTTAGAACGACAGATGTACACCATTGGCCTATGTTTATTATAGTAGTAACAGCTATCTTGTTTGACGTCTTTGAGGGATTCCCACTTTGTTGTCGTTCACGGTGGCAACACGACCCCAAAGCATTATTGCAGTATTTTTAACTCTTGTCCTGGGTCTGTGCTGAATGCGAATCTTATCAGCAACCGATTACGTTGGACGTTCCGGCAAAGAGTCTACAGTCAACTAACTGTCATAACAAGAGGGTTCACTCCTTTCTTTGAGCCAATTAAAAAAGTGTCCTCAAAATTCGGTGACGCCCTCTTCGCAAATGCGCACCCTTTGCGAACAGAGTTACCCTACTTGTGTTAAAAAAATCAAAGTGAAACTCACAAGTTTTTGAATAATTAAGAATTCAAATTTCGGAAGAACGCTTTTTTAAAATGGTTACGCTGAGAAAAAACCTCTTCCGGAGGAAGGAGTGACTATTTTCTTCGTTTAATTTGACTTTAAAATGAAAGGTGAGAGGTCATTAAAATAACGGAGTGTCTACGTACACGGTAACCGGGCACCTAGCCTCAGTGTCTACGTACACGGTAACAAGCAACTGGGCACATAGTCTCAGTGTCACGTACACGGTAACTGGCAACCGGGCATGTAGTCTGAGTGTCACGTACACGGTAACCAGGCAGTTCAGAACTCCCAAGTTTAGTTTTTGTCATCCGGTGTAACCTTCATCCCCACCCCTCCCCCGACTGTACCTTTAAAAAAAATCAATAATCCCCCCATTCCGGAGCCCTATACTTTGCAGCGCACAGACTTTGAATGAACTTGGTGACCCCAACCGGTACTCACAATGTGATGCACACACGCAGGTGCACTGACTGGTCATGATGGCGAGCCCGACAAGATGCTTGTTTGACTTTCTTTTTTTTTCAGCAAGTGTCGGCACAGGGCAAATATTGATTAATTTTCATTCCGGTTACCGTGTATGTAGATACTGAGTCTAGGTGAGACTAGATGCCCGGTTACCATGTACGTAGATACTGAGACTATGTACCCAGTTACCGTGTACGTAGACTCTCCTTTAAAATAAAAAACCCCCTAAAACTCCACACTGAACAAACCCGAACTGCTGATGAACAGCTGTCGATCTGCGCACGCTAGGGTTGGGGCGAGCGGACGGACGGGTTCGTTACTCGCGGACTCAGTCAGAGCGAACGGGTTACGGACGGCCATGAGAGCGAACTGCAAACCTCAAGACAGTTCGTTTTTTGGGTCCGCTCCACAATTTGACTCGCGGGCGGGCGAACGGACGAACTCTAGTAGACGAGATACTCGACGCGAGATTCGACCCGTCGTCTATTGTTTGTTAATTAGGCCTGATGTTTCAAACCACTAGCGGTGCCACAGGGAGTGAGAGAGGCTGGTGACGTAGTACTATGTGTGTAACCTTTCACCTCGTGCGTGGGGCTCATTGTGTACGTTCCAATTATCTCAAAGGCCGGGGGAGGGGGGGGGGGGATGGCGGAAATTTCCGTCATGAACGCCTAGCTACAATGTGAGGCAGGAGGGTGATTTTTAAATTATTTTTTTAGGGGCGGGGGCGGGGGGTTGTAAGTTGTAGGCAATGGAAGGAGTCGTTCCCGTCCGCCCGCCCGCTCGAATGCATGGAGTCTCTCGCTCCGCCCGTCCGCTCACTCGCTAAACGAACTGTTGTCTCTGTCCGATGTGTAGCGAGTAGCGAACTACTCTTCACAAACGGACGGTTCGTTACCCGTCCGCTCGTTTGCGGGTAATGCCAGCGGGTAGTTCGTTACCCGCGGACGCTAATTTTGCGAGCCCAACCCAACCCTAGGCGCACGCAAGGAGGTGCTATTCCTATTCTACTTCTGGAGAAACGAAAGAGAGCTTCAAAACAGACTGCAGCGCCATCTGAAGCAAAGAGCGCACTTCCAGCGGACACTTTTTTGGCTGAGTGGACCATCTTGTTATTACTATCTTTGGTTCCGGGCAGTCCGCCAGGGTCACTCAGATCGTTCTTTGAACCTGCACTCACAATGGTATTCAAAATTATCAAATAAGCTTATTTTTTATCAGGTAGTATCATTTCATACAAAATCAAGCTCATTTGAAAGATTTTGTATAGAAAAATGGAAGTCTTGTTTCCTGACTATCCTTTCGAACTCCTCATGTCTAGTGGGTCAATTTCTTCTATAATTTCATTGGACGAACATCTCAAGCTACCAACTTGGCGTGTTTTTAAATGAGACGTATGCCTCGGTTACAAACCAAGGCAGGCGGTTCTAGAAGAAGGCCACAAATGCACACAAACTCAAGCAGACTGACGCACACACACTTGAGCTATGTGAATGCAGATCTGAATCAGGACCCAAATTCAAGGGAAGGTGGTGCTCAGCGCGCGTGTGCTGAGCCAGGGGCTAGACTGACGCAGGACCAGAACGCAGGCGAGGTACCGAAATAGGCTTATCGGGCGACATATACCCGGCCCCCGCAGGACAAAGGTTAAAGCTTGTAGCTTATGGTGGCGAAGTGGTTAGTGCGCTTTTGTCTCCAAAGTAGAAAGTCCAGGTTCGAGCCTCGGTTCGGACTCAGATTTTTTTTTTCAAAAGGTGCTTTACTGACTTGCATGTATTTTTAACCAACTGCTAGATCTAGATCTAGGTCTAATGAGACCTATGTACTCAACAGGTTTGAGTCAATAAGGCTTTAAAAATACTGCAATAGTGCTTTGCGGTCGTGTTGCCACCGTGAACGACAACAAAGTGGGAACGAAGTGTATACAGACCCGGTAGGGGAAATCTCTTCTGATTTCGGAAAGTTTCAGCGCCCAGACCCGATTGTGTGTGTGTGTGTGTGAGAGAGAGAGAGAGAGGTGCTAGCAAAATGTATATATATGACATGCCCCAGTTGGCAGGGGGGGGGGGGGGGGGGAACGAGAGAAAGAAAGAGCTAGAAATAGTTTGGGAGAAAGAAAGACAGAGACAAACAAAGAAAAAGAGAAGGCGAGCGATACACAGAAGAGGAGCAGAGAAATTGAGGGGGTGACTGCTCGATTGAAATTATGACATTGTTCTTTTCCTCAAATTGTGATTCCCCCAACTCCAAAACAGAGGAAAAATGACCGTTCATCGAAAAGACATCCGCAGTCTTCATTTAGATCCAGAATCTAGATCTAGAGGCTAGCCTCGAAACTAGATCAATGATTAGTCTATCTGACTAGATCTAAACCTAGGCCATAGATCAGATCTAGAAAAACCATAGTTACCCCCCTTTTAAACCAAGAACCTAGGTCTACCCTGAGCCAAGAGGGCGCTGAAACTTTCCGAAATCACAAAAGAGTTCCCCTACCGGGTCTGTATACTTCGTGACTTTGTTCCCGTCAATGACGTCAGACAAGATGGCTGTTACTCGGCCGTACTTAATAATGATGGCTGAATTATAAAAGAAATTTTTAGTTAGTTTGCAATTCCAGACAAAACAAAAAGTGCCTTACTGACTTGCATTTTATTTTAGACCCGAATAATTACTAGACCTAGATCTAGGTCTAATGAGACCTGTGTACTCAACAGGTTTGAGTCAATAGTGCCAAACCTAGTCTAAGTACGGCTAGCCACTTCGATAATTATATATTTGAACGTCCCCTTGCCTTAGGCCTGACCCTACGACCCGTTGCCTTACACAGTCGCAGTTCCATGCACTGTTGCCCAGATTTTTGCCATACTTGCCTTCACTCTGTTGTTTCTGTCCTGTCTGGCATCCCTGTTCTGTATGTAGACAAATTGATCGTGGACTTAAACTTATACGAACAGAACTAGAAAATCACATTATTATAATTATTGTATTCAGGGGTTTCCCCCAAGACGCTTGGGTTTCACTCGCCAGTAACTTTACTGTTCACTGGATCTCGCCGTGTTTGTTGTTTTTTTGGCGGTGGTATTTTTTTGCGTTATCTTTTACAGTCTCAGCATTTCTCGTTCCAAAAATTAACCTTCTCTTTAAAGTTGTATGCACACCACACAAGTGCGCACGCACACACACACACACACACACACACACACACACACACACACACACACTTTCAGCCCAAGCAGTCGGCGATGAAGAAACCTAGTGACGTAGCTCATGGCGCGCTAAGCAGCAAAGCGGGCCCGCCACGGTGAGATCTGGTCAACTGGCGAGGGACGCCCTGGAAGACAACAAAAATAGATGGCGGAAATACATCATCTATATTTGGGCCAATCACAGAGGTGTGCTAGGTACTCGCTGTAGCTTCATGTAAAGTAAAAGGGAGTGTAAACAGACCCGGTAACCGAGAACAAAGTAACGAATTCTACTGATGCAGTAGTGGAAATCTTTTGTGATTTCGGAAAGTTTCAGCGCTCAGACCCTGTAGAGAGAGTGTGTGTGTGTGTGTGAGACAGAGAGAGAGACAGAGAAATAGACATCCGCAATCTTCATTTAGATCTAGGCCTTGAAACTACAGTCACAGTATATACTTATATTGACAGCTGATGTATCGACATTTAGACATATCGACATGTTTTCTAATTACGAGATTTTTCCTTCAATGTCATCACTAAACCATTTTTCTTATATTGACTTTCTTTCGGCCCACTCTGCTTTATCGAATGCTTCCTGGGTACCTGGCAAAGCCCACAAACATAAATGGGGGAAAAAGCCACGCTCACTGTCAACGCATTAGTTCTTCATAACTCTTTTCCTACCTAGCCAAAATCCACCACTGGCCCAGGGCTTTTCCCTTACCTATTTTTACGCCCCTACCCCACCAAAGGAAAAGTTTTAGTAGAGGTTTTACGGCGCTCGCAACTGCATAAGGTCATATGAATGCCAGAAGATTAGAGGCGTTACAAAAGAGTAACAAACATGAAAAAGAAGAAGGGGAGATAAGGACGATAGATGTTTCATAGGAAAGAAGAAGCAGCCAAGGGAAAATGTCAAAACATCCAATTAAACACACACATACCATATCATATGGCCCATCAAACTGAAGGCTGAAGGTTAAAAATTAATCTATCAGATGGCGATACAATATTGAAGATTAATTCCAATTATATTACTTTAGGGTTTCTAAAAGTGATTATGCAATATCGAAGGCGTCATATGAAATCAAAAATTTTCCAGCTTTGAAAGGTCATCTAAAAAAGTACGACAGCAGCATCATTCAAACTACCTAAGTAGGTTGCCTCAAGTAATGTGAAGAAATGCTGAAAGTTATGAATGTGTACCTAATATAGAAGTGAAAATATGAGACATATACTGAAGTCAGGGTAGCGCTTTTTTCCCCACATATTTACGTTTCGAAGGGGGGAAAAAAGCGATGAAATGACAAAAAATCGTCTCTCAGTGCTATATTGCTATATTTTCTTTCGTATCTGCTAAAAGGAAGTCTATTCTATCATTTTGAAACCGTGGATCGGCTGAGAATTTTGTGTCTTTTCATTACTGGATTGGAATAGATATGAAGGCGTTCAAGCAGTATTTTGCGGCTCTCGTTACAGCGAGGCCAGGTCCGCGAGCTGCAAAATGCAGCTAGTGGTAGGGAAAGTGTTACGTCTGCATACCTGCCAAGTAGCCTATTCGACACGCTAGGCTTTAGTAGGTCATGTAGGGCCTACACAGTGTAGTCTCCAACACAGTACAGTGCCTCACAGATGTGAGCGTCTCTCACGCTGGGCATCGCCTCCCTATCCTCACTCCCGATCGCTCACTCCCCTTCTCCATCCCGTTCTCAGTCTGTCGCTGGCAAGTGCCACAGTCAGTGAGTCAGTGCCTCGGCTTTCCATTTTCCCCAGCAAGCGGCCATAAACAGGCCTTACAAAGATGCTACAACAAAGTTTGCGCTGGGGTGTAGTGTGCGCCTGGCGTTGCTCGGTCTTTGGTACCTTAACTCCAACTCCCCCTTTCCCTTCTGCCTCTTGTTAGTTTCACTGTGTAGTTGTGTAAGAATCAAGGGAAGCAACCAGCTTTAAAAAGTAGTTTGTATGTGTAAGGTGTTAACGGGGGCGGGGGCGTGAAGGGATTTTTGTTTTGTTTAGAATGTACAGATTTTAGTTTTTGCTTTAGGGGTGACTAAATGCAAAATAGGTTTCTGCCAAAGTCGAGCAGTTTTGTTTTCTCGCAGTCCCTTTTGAAGGCATTTTCAAATGAACTATAGTCCGGGAACATTGCCCCGACCACAATATTGAAGTTGAAGTATCTGAATGTTCAGACATCTAAAAATCCTTGCTCTAGAAATTGAATTTGATGCAAAATATGCTCCTTCTTAGTGCTCGCAGAATGAAGGATGATGCCGAACTCTGGCAAATAGCCTAACCAAAAAATCTCTAGAACGGAAACTGTTAGGAAAAATTGAGTTCAAGTTTATTTTCTCGAGCATTCGGAGAAATAGTCACTTCGTATAAAAAATTACTTTACCCCCTAGAATTTCTGCTTCTGTGTCGAATGATGTCAAGTCTCTGCTATAGAATGTCAGCAAATTGGGGACATAGCCATAGCCATATAATGCTGTTGACAAGTCCAAAGCTCTTTACGTGGTACTTGTATGCGGAGACTATAATAGCAAATTGGTGTAAAAGGAAAATACTTTCTTGTATTGGACTATCTGAATGGCAGAGATGATATTCTTATTGGCCTGAATTGATTCCATCGATTTTCCTGCACAGCCAGAATTAAATAGGTGCTGTCATTCAGAATATATGTTTATGATTTTGATCTATATCTCGTTAACCATACTGCATGACGGAAGTGGGTGGACAGAAACGCCACAGAGCGTATCATAATGGATGATGGGAGTTAAAAACATTTACATTCTATTTCTAATTACCTTGTTTTATGTTTCTTCTCAGCTGAAGGTGGTGGTTTTAGGGCCCCTCCTTTCCCAGATAACAGCAGATTGCCAGACGATCACTTCTCTCACCACAGTGGACAAGAATTCTCGCACAACCGGGGTCCTTGGCCACAGCCCAGAGATTTTGAGTCAAACGATCCTCAACATGCGGAACAATTTAATCCCAACTATTCTGATGATCCTAATTCTTATGGATTTTATGACGAGTATGCAGAAGGTGATTCTAATGGTGGCTATGATGCACCGAGGAGGGGCAGGGAATTTGAGGATAGAGAGTGGAATGATCAAAGAGGACGTGGCCGTGGCTTTCAAGGAAGAAAAGATACTGGGGGTCATCATCCAGGTAGGGGGAGAGGAGGAAGAGGCAACTTCATGAGTGGCCATGTTCCCCCTTTGGACTATGGGCATGGAGGTCAAGGAGGGTTTGAAGAGAGTTATCATGACTTCCCAGATAGGTTTGTCACAGAGAGTGCTGATGCCCTGCCTGTGGGCAGTGATGGAGGACCACCACATGGCTTGCCACAAGAAGAAAGAAGGTCTTTTACTCCACGTTGTATTAAGAATGCTGATAACCTTGAACAATCAGATAATACGGTAAGAAAGTTTTAGTGATGCTTGATAGATAAAAAGGTTTTGATAAGGTGTCTTTTTGATTCTATCTATTCTACACAGTTTTCAGAGGTTTTATGTTTGTGATATTTATGTCTAGTTAAATGATGTGACCTGACAAGGGGATAAATTAACCCTTCTTGCAGTTTTGTATAGGGTGAGAATATGAGTAGATTTGAAGAGTCTTATCTCACTTCACTTTCGTCTGACCATCGTTTAAACGGGATAAAAACAAATCGCTCTGCGAGTCTAAAAAGTTAAGCGACCGACAGAATCTAAAAGCCCATTCATAAAATTCACTGAAAACTAAGGTTCCGACATGTTTTTTCTTTATGGAAGCTTAAAGCACGTCAAAAAAATAATAGGGGATTTGCAGCATACATCTAAAACATTTTAAAGTTGACATATTTTCCTCAACACCACCTTATAATGTTCGCCAAAGAAACACGATTCAAGAGATGGGATAAGTAATTTTTAGACACACATGGAACAGGTGAAGACGTCTAGACAGCCGGGGGATGAAATTTAAAAGCTTAAACTGAAATGTGGGGACAGGGCAGTGTTGCTGTCTCATTTATTTTAGTGATCCTGTGTATGCATCCAAAGAGCTATTTTTAATATAATAGGGCCCAAAGAGAAAAAGTTTTAGTACTTGGTCAAGATTTTTTAAAAATAAATTTTTGTTCGGTCGCTGGCATGCAGAAGTGCCATGCAAAGTTTTGTGGGCATAGGTAAATTCCTCAATGAGCTATAATTTTTTTTACGGGGTCAGATGAAAGTGAATAAGCTATAATTTGTTTTGGTTTCGTGCTTTTGCTTTATAAATTGGTATGTTTTATTGAAAAGACAGAGGCATGACTAAGGTCACTGGGGCCGTTTAAGTCAGAGCACCCTCACCAACTGAACATTTTTTGCATATTTTTGTTATAGACAAGTGTCTTGTCCAAGGAGTTGTCTTGTAAATATGTTTTGCTTTGTGCTTTTGTGTTCTGGTTAGACTATAGCTGTATACTTTATAGACTGGAAAGCTCCCTTTGATTTACTTATCAAGTCTACTGTATGTTCTTTGTACTTTGTAGAAATCACCACCAACAGCAGCTGGGGACAAACCTATCGGGAAAGAGGAAGAATCTGAAGATGTGAGTGAGCCTGTGATCTCTTCACAAGCATCAAGAAGCTTAGCTGCTACTCTGAAGCTTTTAGCTGACTCGGGGGTAAGGAGCAAAAAATGGTTTCTATTAATGTCCTTTTTAATGCTCTTTCGCCTTCCTTCACTGCAACTTGATGTTTTTTACTCTGGTCATTATTAATGGAAATGGAAAATTTAGACAAACTGATTTGAAAAAGATGATTTAAATCTCCAGGATTTGAACTTCCTTATTTTTGCCTTTAAATCGTGAGCAGGAACTATCATAATTTACTGGCATATAATATTTTGTCGTAAAACTTGCTGTAACCTGTGATTATATGCTATTGTGCTGTCACTATTCATCTTCGTTTTGAACAGCACACTGATTGTGAATCAAATAATACGATTTTTCATAGTTTTCATTCTAAAAATATTTTCTTTGGATAAAATGCGTTTTGTCTTAAAATCCATCAGTTATACCATTAAGATCCATCAGTTATACCGTTTCTCTCTCTTTTTTGGGGGGGGGGCTCAGGTCACTGATTTCCTGAATGTTTTGTTTAAATTGAGATTATTATTTTAAATATTTGTCTTTGTAGTTTTATGTTCACTCAAGTTGCAGTATTTGCTTTAGATTTTGCACAGAAATTTTTCTTTCAAACATACAATTGTTGAATAGTATATATTTTCAGCTCAAATTTTCAAGATTATGAAATGTATATGAATATTGTAGCTTGTGAAACCAAGTTATTATAATGATAGATATGACTGTGCTGATTCATTGGTGATTTAGAAAATCAATGGACATATGTAGGCAGTGAAGATGTGGCTGATTAAGGAGTCTTGGGGCTCTGTCCTGTCCTCTTTATGCATTGCTTGACTACAGTAATATAGAAATCATCAGAAAGAGAATTTGTTTTCCAGGAGCCTGGAAGTGCTGCTAGTGAGACTGAGGTTAAATCTTCTGCCCCCAATGACAAGAACTGTAATCCAACAGAAGAGACACAGAAAGCGTCACAGCAGAACAAAGATGAGGATGTAGATGAAGAGGAAGTTGAAGATGATGAAAAGTCCTCCGCTATCTCGATGCTTCCGTCCCGTCATTCGAGGGGGCTTATGAGCACACTGATAAGTCTGGCTGGACCAGAGGTGCTTAACAGAAAACCAGATCCACTGCCTCCTCCTCAGCCAATGCCAAGTGAGTCTGCACATGTTCTTTTTCACATTGTTTCTTGTACCATTGATCTTAGTCCTTTTATAAGATTCCTCCTTCGGCGTTTGTGGTGTAGGGGTTAAGGACTTTGCTGGTGAATGCAGACTTATTGGGGGTAGTCTGTTTCTGGGTTTTTGCTCTTTTTTGTTGCTGTCATTTATGCATAATCAGCTGATAACGGATGCCTCTAAAATTAATGTTCAAAGTCTCTTGCATATTTCAGACAATTTCATTGTCAAATGATATTTCTATTTCTCTTTTCCATATTTTCACAGCCGGTGCCACAGCTGAGAAAACAAAAGTGACTGACAACACTCTGTTTGGAGAAGAGAAATGTGAAGAGCAGAGCTACAGTGAATTGTACTGCTATGTAAGATGACTAGTGGTTAATTTCGTGCTTGTTTTTTACTTTTGAAGTTATCTTGAAGTTATTTTTTGCTTGACTTTGTTGTCTATAAGAATTGTTACATACACATCTATTTTTAATGCACTGAAGACAGTTTTACATCTGACGACAAGTTCACAATATGGATTTCACAAAATGACTGCAAGGCCACTGGGATCTCAGGAGAATTTGAAAAAAATTGCTGAGCCTTGTGAAAGACATCAGATTTCAGTTTTAAGACAGTAGATTTACTTGGGAAATAACATTTGTAAAGTGTGCTGACAAAATTAGTTACTTCTCGGATTCGAACCCTGTGGAAATAGATACACCACGCTTAAAGGTGAAGTTTTTACAATATATAAGTATGAAATAATAAAACTAATGCTATACTTAAAGAACATGACATGAATAGAAAATCTACCAATTTTATCCAAGTGTCGATTTTTAAAAAACCAATATCTCCATTTATAATGGATTACGAGAAGTAATTTATTTTATCAGCACGCCTCACATTTTGTTCTTCAAACTATGATGACATGATCATAACAGGTTGTCAGATCATTTCATGTGGGGAAATATTGTAGTTTTCATTTGCATTTCCCATTCGGAGAGTGAATGTGGCACAAACGGACGGAAGTGGAGATGTTTTGTGGTTAACTTCCAGCCAGCATGTCCAGCGAAGTCATTAGGTCTTCCACTTTTGCTGTCTAAATGGTTAGTCTATGAGACTTGTTTTGCTCCCCCAAAACTAGAACTAGAAGACTGACATAATCACCAGGTCCCAGTGCAGTGGCAATTGGGAAATCTAGATCGTCTTGCAATTCAGTCACCATCCAGTTCCCATTGATGGTTTAGATGACTGTGACAGTCAAAATCTACTTTAACATTTTGCAAAAAATAGTGCATGGATGCAGGTAAGAGCTATTTACCTGTGACTGGGGTAACTATAACCGATAGTTTTGAAAGATACAGAGGAAAAGTTTTGTGTTTATCGAGCAAGTATTTTGTCATGGAATAAAATGTAAGACTTTTTGCTGTACCTGCATCAGTAAATAAATGTAATACTTTCTGCTGTACCTACATGAATGAATGAAATGTACGGCTTTCTTCTGTACTTGCATCATTGAATGAAGTAGAAGCCTTTTTGCCATACCTGCATCAATATTGAATTGAGTGAACCCCCAATGGGACGCTGTCCCTGGACCCTGCTGGGGGCCGCAGCCCTGCGGCCCCCAGACCCCCTGCAGAATTTTCCTTACTTTTCAGCTTCAGCTGGTGGAAGCACTGATGAATTGAATGAACGAAATGTTAGACTTTCTTCTGTACCTACGTTAGTGAATTGAATGAATGAAATGTAAGACTTTCTTCTGTACTTACATCAATGAATGAAATATAAGTATTTCTGCCATATTTGCATCAATGAATGAATTATAAGACTTTCTTTCATACTTGCATCAATGAATGAATTATAAGACTTTTTTTCATACCTGCACAAATGAAAGAAATGTAAGACTTTCTACTGTATCTGCATCAATCTGTATCCAGGTGCATGTTGGCGTCTGCACATTTCTCTTTTTTTTTCTTTTTACTGCTGCTATAATAGTTTGTAACTAAATCTTTCCTTTTTTCTCTTAAATGAACTGTCTTGAATGCATCTATTTCAGTTGTGCCGAGTAGAAACGACGTCCTTGCACAACTTCAGAGATCATTTGAATGGAAAGCAACACAAATCTGTAAGTATCTAATCTTCTGACCTTGAAAACTTGAAATGGTATGGCAACAAAAAAAAAGGAGGGGGGGGGGGACTGATTAAGCTTGGTGTTCTGACAGTGCAACAGTAATTCCCTATACCCAGAAGATGACGTGAGGCATCGAGGTGAATCAGGTGATCGTCAAAATAATTAAGTCAAAGAAACAGGCAGTTTTAATGCTCCTTGGGCAATTGTTATATAAGTTTTTATTTTTTTGTCCCAACGCCTTTTATACCCATTTAAAAACACATTTCTGTGTGAGTTTGCTGAAAAATGTTAATTGAGGGCACAAAAAATATAAATTTGCTGTTTCCAAGAGCTCCCAAGCTTGGAAGTCATCAAATTTTGGCAGCCATTTTCTGGCTAATTTTATCTCTAACACCAGACAATGCCACTTCCTTCAGTCGCAAATATCTCGACTTCTATTCAAGATAGACAGGTATTCTTTTCATCAAAAGCAAGGAAAATGAACAGGCTTTAAGATTATACCAATAACTCCATATTATGGTCCAAACTCGGGAGCGCCTGATTCCACCACGTTGTGACACATATATTAAGTTTGGTGTTCTGACAGTGTATCCGTAATTCCACATACCCTGATGAAGACGACCAAAATGTTGTTGCTGGTTTGATTGTACAATTGTCGAAAGAAAAAAAAAGTTGGTTTAGGGAGATTCCTGCTGTGTTGAAGTTATTGTTTGACCACACAAAATTACCTCATTTTTTTTGTTTGTTTTCTCTCTGTAATAGTTAAAGGCTGGGGCAGTGTGGAAGGGAGGGTTTTTATCTACTTTTCGTACTGTGATTATTTGATACTTTTTTCCACTTCCCCATGATTTCTTTTCGGCCTCTTTGCATCAAGTTCGCTGATTTTATAGTTTTCCTTTTCTTTGATCCCCAGGCATATTCGAAGGTCCAAATGTCCTGTGAGTGCCCTGAAGTGTATCTCTATGTTCAATGTTTGATACATAGTGGCTGTTGTTATTTTTATGTCTTGTCGTGGCTTTTGGTTTTTTAGACTGAAGTCCTATGAGATCTATCATTGTACTTGTTAAATTTTTGGAAATGTAGGTTTCAATGTTTCTTGCTCTAACAACTTTATTGCTGTAGAATGGAACGAAAGATGCCATGTGAGGGTTAGTCTTAGTACTAGTGTAGTCGCCCCATTGTGAAAGGTCTTGTCGTCCTGAGAGGCTGTATTTCGCGACCTCAGTGCTTTCTTGTCGTATCTCCATTTTTAATAACAGTGGAAACAGTTCATAACAAAGAGTGAGCTTAAGGTACACCACGGCAGCCTAAAAAGTCGATTTTGGTATCCAAAACCGATTTTTCGATTTTGGACTATTTTAGTAGAGCAACATCTGCTTTATCGATTGGAAATATTTTCAAGTGTTCAAAACATCTATAAAGTGCTCACATATGCCATGTATTTTAACATTGTGTGGTAATAGAATGGTATGAATTCGTGTTTTTTAAAGTTTTCTAAAAACTATGATTTTCTTAGGGGGGTGGGTCACCTTGGCAGAGATATTTCTAAAAGTACTTGTCGCAGCTGAATCCCACTTTGCATGAATGTTTCTAGATAATATGTTTGCAACGTACTAAAAGGTTATTGTGATATTGTAATAAGTCTTCCGTCAGTGTTAAAAAGATTGGCAGCATAACTCTGATTTGTGATCAATTTTTTGTCCAAGTATCGTATATGACACTAAAAGGGCAGTTACAAGAAAAGTATGAGACTTAGGAAAGTAAATCTTTAGTACGTCGCAGGTTGTATATACACAAACTATGTGTGACAATATCAAGGCTGTATCAATTCAATCTCTTTCAGAATCCCTGCCAACAATTTGCGCGAATTTTGGTCTGTCGAACCCTTTGCATCTTAAAAATTCAAAAAATTGACAGTGAAATCATATAGGGATAGTGTGTTTTTGTTTCTTGACCCATACTGGTTATTGGGAATCCCAGTACACTTAATTTAGAGCCCAAACAAAAATTTTCATTTCAGCTGTACCTAGTTCACCTTTTCAATATTAAAAAAAATAGAGATACAACAAGAAAGCTCTAAAGTCGCGATTTGTTCATTAATTTAAGACAGATTCCACCCTCTTCATTGGATTTGAGGCCTTCTAGCCATGGTAGCTACAGCTTTAGCCTTTCAGCTGGGGGATAGTGGTTTGATTTGGGCTCCTCCTGCTTGAAAGTTGCATCCACGGAATTTGTCATGTAATGGTTAAGCTTTTCATTTTTGCATATTTAAGCTGTGAGTTCTGTTCAGTTAACATGTGAGGAAGTTGATTCGGTTATCTTGAATATCATAGGCTAATTATGTCATTAATGTTCTCTTGTGCGCAGTAGTTTATTGTTATTGATGGCATCCAGATTGATCTATACCCCCCCAAAAAAATTTAGTTGTCTCCTCTTGGGTTAGGGAAGAGATTTTTCCTGTGACCAATGCATTACATGCCAAATCTTCTATCAAAATGCATAGATCAGTGTTTTAGTTCACATGATACTTTAATATGGGGGGGGGGGGTGTTGAAACTATAATTTATTTCCTTGTGTATACCAACACCTTTACTTGTTTGTTGTATTATTGATGTTTTTTTATTTTTGTTTTTTTTCCTCTCAGTGTCGGAAGAGGATTTGCTTGCTGCTGTTCCTGATGTTGAAGAGTATGAAAACCTTCAAGAGTACCTAGATTGTGGGATCACCCGGAGCATGCTCCAGGAAGCAGGGATAGACGTCACCCAGCTTATCAAAGATGCTCAGCTAGACCTCAAGCCTAGTACCTCGAACAAATCATCCAAAGCGGACGATGAATTATATTGTTCAGTAAGGCTGCTTTCTTTTGTTTAAGATTTTGAAGGTCCTCATGACTTCTCTACGTGTCAGCACAAAGGCTTGGATTTGATGATATAAGTTTCTGTTTTAGTGTGTGTATTTTTTCTTTCAAATTAATTGGGAAAGCTACGTTATAGCCTTAGGGCACACATTTCCTGCTCAGTAGATACAAAATAACTGTACTTTGTCGCTCACTATTTGAGTCTGCTGTAAATAATTGTATTTTTCAGTCTATGGTCAATTATTGAAAAGGGCTCAAAGATGCGAACCACAGTCTCTCCAGTGCAGAGTGGACTGGTTTGTTTGTTAAAGTTTGTTTACAAATTCCTGCACCTATCACTGCACAGCTTATTAATAGAACATTTCAACTAGCTTCTCAATTTGTTTTAATGTATAAAAAAATGGGGACATTCAATTTTACAAGTAATAAATATAACACACTGTTCACCAAAGAAACTTACCTTTTCAAATACAATTTCACTTGCGCAGAACCATGATAAAAAAATGTCAAAGGGAGCTTGTTATTTGTTGTCATGGTCAGGATGAATTTATACTCTTTAAAAAAACCAGTCACTGTATGTTTGTACATCAATTAAAAATCTACCATAAGAGTTTATGATAGATTCTACAGAGCCCACAAAAGACATATATATGAAATAAGACCAATTTACAAGCTGTAAAAATGTAAACTATGACCAATGACTTTGAACATAGCATAGATTTCAGTTGAAATCTGAGAGTGCATGCATAAAATACTATCAGTGCCTCAGAGGTTTTGAGGCACTTGTTGGAGACTGAGGGCATACGTGGTGCATTGTGGTGAAATCAGACACCCATCCAAATAGTGAATTGGAGGAAACCTGCTTTTTTCTGCCCAGTAGCCAGTTGTTTTTGAACTTTTGTTTTTTGGATCAACACCTTTTGTATCCATTTAAAATCACATTTCCGTGGTGTGGATTTTACTGAAAAACATTGATTAAAGGCACAAAAATGTAAATTTTCCATTTCCAAGGACTCTCAGGCTATGGAAGTCACCGAACTTTAGTAGCCATTTTCTCGATAATTTTACCTCTGAAACCCCTACTTCTTTCAGTCGCAAATGTCTTTTTACTTTTATTCAAGATGGATATATATTTTTTTCACCAACAGCAAGACCAGTAAACCAGCTTTATGGTGATACCAATAATTCCATATACTAAAAATGATGATCGCCTTATTCCAGCGCGTCGTGACACACGTGTTAGTGTATGTGATGGACTGTATGATTTTGGTTGTTCACATTGACATGGCGTTAGCTGAGTGCTGTCAGATAGTTTCTCCAATTTCCGATTCTTGGGAGTTTTTATCATAGCTGTCAAGGCTGTTAAAACATTACTTCTTTCAGCCCAAAATTGTTAGTGAATACGCATGTTTTGCAGAATTTCTGTTAAATTTTTTGCGGACTCCTTTTTTCATAACTGGCTTTCGGTGCTTTAATAGTAATAATAATAATAGATAGCATTTTTTTGCGCAAATCCCCGCTCAACCGCAAGCTCTATGCGCTTCACAATCTATACTATTACCCTAACAGACCTGAGGGCATTCTGATACAACCTCAACTTCCTGGGAAACATACAGTGCAAGCAGCCGTTTATAGGCACGCTAAAACACTAATATACTGACAAGATCTTTCGCTTTCATCCATCAAAAAACAGAAAAAAAGTTGGTACAAGTTAAGACTATGCTTGCAATTTTTGCTCAGGCTTGTGGATGGTATCAAAGACGGAGCAATTACTTACTGAAGTTCTTATATGAAAATTTTGAGTTTTAGGCCTATTTCTGAATGACAAAATGGGATTGGAAGGAGATTTACAACAGGAATATGTTCAAAATGATTTCATTTTGTGTTGGTTACTTGTGGATGTTGTGACTTTCTTTCTTGTGGTTTTTATTCAGCCTGTTATTAAAAAAATTTTTTGGCCTGTTTTATCAAATCCCGCAATATTTGTTTTAATTTATTTTTATTTTTCAGTTGTGTAGAGTTCAGACTACATCTGTGGGCAACTTCCGAGATCATCTCCGGGGGAAAGGTCATAAAAATGTGAGTATTGTGCTGTATCAATTCTGGAACCCACCACAATGGTTCTTTAACCCACTCCCAATAGATTAACCATAACCACTTGTTGTACGTGGGTGGTTGGCGGGTGCTCTGGTGTGGTTTGCTTCTTCTTTCCTCTCAAACATCTATCGTCCTTATCTCCCCTCCTTTTTTATGTTTGTTACTATATTGTAACACCTCTAATCTTCTGGCGCTCATATGACCTTATGCAGTTGCGAGCGCCGTAAAACCTCTACTAAAACAAACAAACTTGTACGAACCCACCCGTGTACTTAAATTGACCACCGTTGCCTGATGGTTTTGTGCTCTTGATCATTCGCGATCAGCATTTTCCCATAGCTGATTATCAAGGAAATCTCGTTCTACTAACGTCGTCCCCGTGACTTTTGGTTCGGTAGTTGTTTTTTGTTCTCGCTAACGAGCTTCGAGAAAGAAAGTGATGGTCAATTGAATCTGGCGCTCTTTCCACCGATTTCTCGAAGTTTTCTTTTTGCGAAACAGGCTTGAATCCAGTCCTACCTGACTAGTCTCTCTCATGATGGCGATCTGTATAGTTTTGATAACATTGAAGAGGATAGTAAAATGAACTACGAACATCTCTCCCCCCTCCCCCCCGCAAAACTTTTGCCCAAACGGGCTCATGATAATCCCTTGACCTGCAAATATACTCAGGTTTACCCTCTCAGTCCCAACAGACATGCAGGATTGCAGCTTGTTATCCACTTGGTCAGGAGTAATAATACTTCGATGAGGATTTAGATCTAGGTCTAGCTATTGTGTCCAGCAGCAAGGAGGAAGAAAAAAAACAACCTGATCAGTAGATCATCCTAGACCAAACAAAAAGTCTATTAGGCAGAGAAATAATATTGACAGCTATTTAAATGAAAACTAATTTGTAATCTATTGCTTACAGTTTATTTGATATTGTCATCATGTTGATGCTCTTGTTGACAATCAAAATTAAGTGTTGTTTATTTCAAACTGAATTAGGCCCCTTCTCACAGGCTGAGGGGTATATTTTCAGAGTATGGCCTTTGGTCTGATCGTTTTAAGAAAATCAGAGCATGTGGTGTGCATTTAATGGTCAAAACTGGTTCATCCCCTAAATTTTTATAGCAGTGCCTTTTTGTTCTGTTCGAATGTTGTTTGAACTGCACATCCATTTGCTAGGTACATCGAGAAGTGTATATGCAGCAGGCTTACATTCTGTTGTTATATTCAACATTGTGTTGTGTGGCAGTTTAGTCAGTCAGAAATGTGAATTAAAAAATTTCTTTGTATTCACATTTCTGACTGGAAGATGGTTGAATGAATGCTTGCCAAAGAAGCAGTTTGATAATAGTCTGATTCAGGTTATCATGAAACCTTTTAGATATGATATCATAATGCTTGATTGGGATAAATGATTGACGAGTGATTCTATTACAATCATGTGTTTGTGCATTCCTCCCAGTGAAAATTATCATGGTAGCTGCGTGGGAATGGTCTTATTTATCACTTGCGAATATAAGCTGAAAGCGTGTTTGAGCATGCCACAATGCCAACCAGCTAGATGCTTATGTTCGCTTTGGTCAAACCCGGAATCATATTGTGCCAAACTCATTTACTGCGTGTGAGTGGTGGGCGGGTGGGTGCTCTGGTGTGCTTTGCTCCTTCTTTCCAGTCAAACATCTGTCTGTCATCCTTTTCACTCCTTCTTTTTTTTGTTCGTTACTCTCTAGTAACACCTCTAATCTTTTGTGCTTATTTTACCTAATTGTATAGAAAATGCCGTAAAACCCTTTTCAATAACAAATCATTTGGTGCGTTCTTGGGGCTGGTGGTTGATGCGGGGATCTTGGGGAATTTGCTTTGTATTTATCATTACAGTATTACTGTTGTCCTTTTCTCAAAGCTGCTAACCAGTTAGTAAAAAATGTATTTAGTACATTTTTAAGGATCTGGGAGCAGAGGTACGTTTTCATGTCTTGTATTGCTCCTCACAGACACGTAGATGACAAAAAATCCCCCTATAAACTTTCAAGACTGCATTTGCGAATCATAATGAGAACAAAGCCCATTAATCAGTTGGAGAGATCTTTTGCTTCAGGTATATTATTTTGAATTTACTGAATGGGGAAAAGTTCTGGTGTTGAGGAAAATATATCCACAATTTATTTTTGGGGTGTGTGCTGTAAATCCTCTATTATTTTTTTTACCCGCTTTAGGTTTACAACCAAGAAAACGCGTCAGAACCTTACTTTGCAGTTACCTTTAGGAATGGGCTTTTAGATTCTGTTGGTCATCCAAATTTTTTTCCTGTATGCAAAGATCTGAGAAATTAAACAGAGCGATTTCATTTTATCCTGTTTTAACTGCGGTCAGACGAAAATGAACGAGCTGAAAATGAAAATGACTGGTGTTTCTTGCCCATTCAATCAGACCTGACCCCTGGCACTACACACCTCTAGAAAGTACTGTGCTTGCGTTAATATCTGTGAGAGAAGGTTTCTGGTTAATGACTCTGAAAGGCTTCAAGTGTACTTCATAGTTCTTCATAATCTACGAGTCAAAAGAAAGAAGGATAAGCAAATAGCATTCAATGTTCTCTGTGAAGACGGATGATCTGTTTCTTTAACAAAAGCGGTTTTGGTTTGTTGAGGGAGAAAAATAATGGATTGTTGTTGGGTGCTCAGATGTGGTTTGCTCCTTTCCTTTAAAAAATCTATCATCATTATCTCTCCTTCTTCTTTTTTGTGTTTGTTACTCTTTGTTAACACCTCTAATCTTCGGCACTTATATGGGGTAATTGTGTTGCAAGTGCAGCAAAACTCTTACTAACACAAAACAAAAAATATGCACAAAGGGCCCGCTCAGCTGTTTGATTGTTATCAAGACTGAGGTTGCTGATACATACGTTCCGTGGCTGCGATATATTTATGCGGTTTTGATTAAAATAGAAAATGGAGATTCCATCTCTTTGTGTTGAGCCTGACATTGTTGGTCAGTTTCATCAAAGCGTGCGCCTTGCTCTGGAAGTTTCTGCAATTTTGACAGATACATCTGATACCACCGTTTTAATGACTGCTGTCAGTACACACTGCGAATTTTAATGGTTTGCCTGCTTCAACTACAGTATAGTTGATTAAAGTCAAACTATTAAAATTTCGGTTGACGGAAAATGAAGCATGTAAAAGGGGCTGTCTCAAATTATTCGCTGAGGATTTACAAGACTGCTGCCAACAGTGGATAATTTTAGTTTGATAGATTAAATATCTATCAAGTGCATACCAATAATGGTAACGTGAAGGCTTTGTATTCATGCTGTATACCACGTATCTGTTGTTTTAGACCAGTTCATGTTTGTTTTAGTCATCTTACTCAAGAACAGTCATCGTGAAACTTTGGATAATCAAGATGTGCTTGTGAGTGGTTGGTGGGTGCTCTGGTGCGGTCTGCTCCTTCTTTCCTATTAAAAAATCTATCATTCTCATTTCTTTTCATTTTTCTTGTGTTCATTTCTCTCTTGTAGCACCTCTAATCTTCAGCATTTATATGACCTAATTGTGTTGCAAGTGCCGTAAAATGCTTACTAAAACCGAAAGCAGCATCATTGATCAAGTTGCAGAGTTGTATACCTGAAATGCAGCAATGTTAATCCTTAACATTACCAACTTTCATATCACACCAAGTATATATATTTGGGACCATTTAGTCCAAGTTGTTTTGAATGCAGGATGAGGTATTAGGACTGTATCTGTGTAAGGGAATTGAAATATACTTGTTACTTTAGGACTTCAAGATTAAATCATCACCCCGCGTTTTTTACGACATAGCGCTCTGATGCCACTGTTGTTTTAAGAACTGACATGCATCACAAAAATTTTATATACTGGCTGCCTTCATGGAGATGACGGAGCAAACCCATGGTATGTCTTGATGATATGATACAACAGATGAATTGATCACTTTGTGTTGAGGTCTTAGTTGCTGATCAAGTGAATGTTATCTCTGTATTACTACAATGTACCGAATGTTGATCCAAGATGCATGCCACAGCTTTTTGACTGATACTTTACCATTAGACCATTGTTGGTCACGATTAAGTACTGTTTTTGCCCCCTTTCGTTGATGGGATAAGATGTTGATTTGCCGTGCACTGCTGTGACAGATGGACAGATCAATTTAGTGGAAGTGGAAGGTCTAGTATTAATATTCTGCTTTTGAAATTACCTATGTTTGTTGAGCTTGTTTAGTTGTCTCTGTTCACTTAATTATTTTTCAAATTTCATAAGTGTAGTATAGTGTAAGTAGCGAAGGTGAGTGGTTGGAGGACACCACTTGTAGGTCCTACTTCTTTACCTTCCCTCTGTTGTTTCTGTCTGTCTGTCTTACTTTTGTCCCAGCACTAGATGACCAATGACCATTATTGTGTCGATGTACTTCTCAGTACTCAAGCAAACAAGCATGTCGTTTCTGTCTGTCTGTCTACGTTACTTTTGTCCCAGCACTAAATGACCATTATTGTGTTGATGTGCTTCTGTTTTCTCAAACAAACAGACAATAAGTAGTGAAGTTCAAGAAGTTGTGACAGCAGGTTGCTACAAATAAGAAGAATGAGAAATTATTGACAGGAATTTTTAATTTGGGTGAATCAGTTCCAAGCTAGTGATGATAGGGATCTCATTGACTGTTGCAGGATCTTTGAGAAATCCCTTATTTATGTGTTTGTTTTTCGTTAGTAGTTAATGTCATATATTTTGTATTTATTTTTATAGGTGTACTTTTGGCTTGTGTTATAAAAAGTAAGTATCACTTAGTTGGTTATACAAAAAGAGAGAGTATAAAAGAAGTAATTATTCTATTCAACGGCTAGATCTACATTGCATTTGTCTGAACTCTTTTCATTTTTTTCCCCTCCAGATGGTTGCAAAGCATGGAGACAGCAGTAAGTGATGGTTTCTACCTTTCTTCCAAAATTCCATCCCCCCTCTACGACAGCGAAATTTCTACCCTAGAATTGGTCAAGATTCTACAACAGATATGGTTTGAAGTTCTTTTGGAAAAATGATTGGCCTCAGAAACTCCTGCAAAGAACTTTTACATTGTCCGCCTGCCAAGATGTAGTTCCGAGAGAGAAGATCCCCCAAATATCAGTACCGCATTCGGTTTCGTTATGGGGGACGTCTAGTTTTCTGACTGGTTATTATTTGTGTCAAGCGGTCTTGACCAACGTTATTTCCGTTTAAGTCGTCCGAGACTTGAAGTTGTTAAAGTACATATTTTAACAATTTCAAAGTCTGGTTCCGTCCATCTTGACTTTATTTTTAGGTAACTTAGATGTTGTCTCTTTGCTCTTTGAAAATGTACTGCCAGTAGTTTTCAAATCATGAGGCAAATGTCTAAGATGCTTTTTTTTCTTGTCCACCATAAAATGGGTTGTAGGCAGAGACTACATAAATGGCATTGAGATTCTAGTAGTTGGGCTACTGGACTCGAAATAGTGAGATTGCGGGTTTTGGGGTTAGAGCCTTGGCTCGGTTCGACGTGTCCATGGGAAAGGCACTTTACACGCATTTCCCAGTTGGCTCAGTCCTTTCAGAGATGGACGTTAGACTCGGAGGTCCCACCTCTTATATAACCTATTGGTATTGATTGTGGTGTGAAAAACTGAACCATTTTCAGAGACTACCTACAGTGTTCACTAAATGTGTTGGGCTGAAAACCTTTATTGTGGTTCCAGTGGTAGGACTGAACTGAGGTAACTAACTTAAACTCATGGGAGCTGCACCGGGTGATAGGTCATAGTAGGACATACGAGAAATAGGGACAGTTAGGGCTGAATCTGAGAAAAGGTCTATTCTATGAAAAGTGAAACTGCAGTGACACACTTAATGTGGAGATAATGACCTGCCTAAAAAGTAAAGGATAAGCAGTGATTGAGCCATTCTGTATTTATTTATTTTTATTAGAGGAAACAGTCGCTACCATTTTTTCTTCAACACATCCCAAAAAAGAATGTGCAGTGCTTGCGTTTCACTCAGCCAAAAGTCAGTGAAAATGCTGTACCAGGTTTTAACCCTTGCTTTGCTTCTCTTAGGATTTCCTTAACGGTATGCTTGGCTTTGATAGAAATATGCTTGAGATTAAACTATCACTCTAAGTGTCTAGTTGGAAAGTGTGTCGGAGCCAGTGTCGGCAGTCAGAATTTACTCTTACCTCCATTTAGTGGGGGGAAAAAAAGTAAACATTGGAAAGTTACTCTGTGCACAGGAAGTTGCACAAATGATCAGCCATTGTTGGTGTAGAATGTGAACAGGAAAGGAGAAAGGATTAAATCTATGGGTTTTTCTTTCCAAAATTGAACAGTTTACGGGAAGCGGAAATGTCTTCTCTACTTTCTACCTTAGACCCGTAGTCAAACCACATTATACCACCTACCTAAGGACAAGCATGAAGTTGGCGGTATAACAGGATTGCACTGATTGTCATCTCACCTTCTCTCTCTCTCTCTCTCTTCTGGCGCTGTGGCTTCATAAACGGTCAGCTATGCCGACAGCACGCAGGAATTCAACACTCGCCCGGGGGGTCCTTAAAAAGTGCTGAAAGTGGGTTACTGAAATGTCCCAGCAGACGGGTGTCGTCTCACCTTGTGGTTGGCCAGTCATGCCTCACCTAAATCTGTTTTGCTTGATTAACGAGGTTTGACTATATATCCTTTCTGGGACCAGAAGTGTTCTGCATGAAATCTGAGACCATGTCCTTGAGGAAAAGATGTCCGTTACTGCCCTCATCTTCTCTCATGCCGATGGTAGTTTGTCCTGAGCTTGTGCTTTCCCTCACCGGGTGGTTGGAGGGTGCCACTTGTAGGTCCTAGTTCTTTACTATTCCTCTGTATCTTCTGTTTTTGCCTGTTGTACTTTTTTCCTTCACTATATGATTGATATTGTGTCCTAGTTTTTCCACCCCTTGATATATTATTTAAGCACTAGAGATGAGAACCCACTTCCCTCTGTATGGACATCTTTTGAGTCTCTTTCCGAGGGATGTTTAACGTGTGAAACTTCTCCTCCTGGCCTCTGAAATTTTTGGTCCTTACTTTAGAAGATTAGGTACTTAATCCTGCCTACCCTACGATCAGGATGTGGAAAACATGAGAGAAAAACTGACGCTGCCAGGTATCGAACTCTGGACCCCTGGGTTGACAGACAGAAACCATGCTTGTTGAGGTATTGAGCCTCCCCCAGTAAATGTTTTAGTTGGTCGATATAATTGTAGAGATTTGATGTACAGGTATATACACATGTAGTTTCTTGCTCCATGTCGTCAAGAAATCCCTTTTCCTTCTTTATTTGCTTTTTGTCTTTTGTTAAAACAAAAGACAAAATAAAAGGTGGACAAAGGGAAAGTGTGTACCTCTACCATTTGAACCGACATCTGTGGTGTAGTGGTTATTTTAAGCATTACGTAGTTGCACGCAGAAGACCACGAGTTTGATTGCAGTGTGGGGAGAATTTTCTTCAAGATCTTGGTCTCTCTGCTTGGGCGCTGAATCTTTCTCAGGCTGGGATAGCCCTGACAGGAAAGATGAAAGTAGCCTGCCTCTTAAATGATCTAAGTGTGGATGGCGTAAACGTGTACAATTATATTTTTTTCAGCATTGTTAATATTGAATCGAAGTAATTGAAATACTGACTTACAGAAGTTGTGTTGTGCAGTGTCATAGCTGAAACTGTCTTGGTGACCAGCGTCTAGTGTAGCAATTAAGCGCTTTGCTGTCACACGCAGGTGACCCAGGTTCAGTTCCTAATTGGAGAGAAAATTTTATAGAGTATCTCGCTCTTTCTGCCTGGATGCTGTGTCCCTCTCAGCCCGCGTTGGCCCTGATAGGCAGGGTCGGAAGCCTGCCTCATAAATGATCTAATTGCGTCATTGGAGGCATAAAAAGACCTATATTTGAAAAAGAACAATTATTAATTTTTTTCAGTCTTTGCTCGCGCGTATCCATTTACTAGTTATAGCGTGGTTTTGTGCTCTTGTCAGTCAAACTGGCATCTGTAATACAATAGTAAAGCTCTTTGCTGTTGCATGCAGAAGATGTGAGTTTGATTCCGTCATGAAATTTTTGTTAAATGATCAAAACTGTGTTGATAGAGCGTAAAACATTTGCTGTCAATCTTCTCAGCCACAAGGGGTTCTTTTCCCTTTTTATTATTTTTTTTTCTCTTTTGTTTCTTGACAAAACAAAAGATAAAAAGGATGATAGAAAAAGGGATTTAACCCTGTGTCTGCAGTAATTCAGCTTGACGTGAGAAGGCACAAGCAGTACACCTGCTAGCTCATGACTCTGGAATTCTCAGATCCTTTGCTCTGGAGTGTTGTTTTGCTCCTTCTTTCTTATCAAACATCTATCTCCCTTATCTCTCCTCTTTCTTTTCTTTGTATGTTACTCTCTAGTTGTTGTGACGCCTCTAATCCTCGGCACCTACTTGACTAATATGTGTTGCAACTGCATTAAGACTCTTACTAAAACCTAAAACAAAAACCCTTCATTTCTGCTCTTTCAATCAACTTTGTTGTTATCCTTAACATGTACAGTGTGTTAGTGTTGGATCGCAATTATGTGAAGATAAAGAAAATATGTTGAGAGTCCTTTGAGTCTTCAGATTTGCATAAGTACAAAATTATTATTAATCACTTAAAACTTTGGTGTGAAATTTTATGCTCTCTGATTTTCTTTGGAATCGCACAGACCATTCAGTCCCATGAAATGTTTCACACACACACACGTGCATGCTTGCGTGCGCACACACACATACACACACACACACACACACATTCACACACACACACACACACATTCACACACACACGATATATAAACTGGTGAAACACAAATGATAAAGAAATTATATGTTGCTGTAAATCAGAAGTGGTTGAACGAAACATGATTTGAGACTAAAAATGAAAAGTGTATACACCTGTAATTCACCATCTTCTGTTTTGCTTTCTTCCAGCAGCTGCACCCGTAAAGACTAAAAAGGGGACTGTGCCAGCAGGAAATGACTATGGAGGAAAATCTGCTGTTCTCAGCGAGTTACAGTCTATCAATGATCCTATTTTAGGTGAGTAGTGACATGTAGATGGGTATAGAGAATATTTGTTTTCGGTCATGGTGTTAAGAAACAAAACACCCAAAAGAATGTAAGGACCTTTATACTCATGGGATTCACAAATGTGCCAGCAAAAATGTGTTGATGTTTGTGATCCTTTTATAATCCTTTGTCATAAAATACCAAAATTTTGTCAAGGATTATTTGCATGGCATTGTGATGAAATCTGGCTCTTGTCAAAATAATAAAATTGAAGAAAGCAACTTTTTTCTGCCCATATGTCAATTTATATCAAATTTTTTGTTTTTGATTCAACACCTTTTATGATGTTACTTCTCTTCGAAATTTGTTTACTTGTGATTGGACAAAATGTTGTGGTGCATGATATTTGAAGCATCTTATGACAATTTGCGCGATTTACAGGATTGCTTGATGAAAGGGAGGAACAAAATTGAAAAAAAGTAAAAAGGGGATACTGGTTTTATTTGCAAGACTGGAAGAGATGAAGGGAGTAGATTTTAGTACAGAAAAGAACAAAGGGGGCAAACCTTAAATTTTCCAAATTCATGTGCAGTAAAACTGTATGTTCAGATCAGTTTGATTTTTTTTTCTCCTTTATTTGATTCTGAACCCTATGATAAAAGTTTTTTTAAAAATCAGAACTGTTTAGATCTTTCAAGCTGTTGTGTTAAGAGAAACAAACTAAAACCTGCATGCGCTATCCAGCACTACTCTGTGTTTTTACTGTTCCCAAAAAGATTCTCCAAAGAAAAGTTTATGTGCGGTTGGCAGGTGCTCTTGTGTGGGTTGCAACCTATTTCCTCTCAAACATTTATTGTCCTTATTTGTCTTCCTTCTTTTTTGTGTCTGTTTCTCTCTTGTAACACCTCTAATCTTCAACACTTATATGACCTTATTGTGTTGCAAGTGTCGTAAAACTCTTACTATAACTGAACTAAAAGAAAAGTTGTGTTATAAATCAATAATAAATAGTTAACGTTTCTGCTCTGTTTGTGTGTCTTAGGCTTGTCGTTCATCACAGAATATCACAGCGCAACCCGAGTTGAGTGTGTGTGCAGTTTATGTGTTGTCAAGTTTGACATCAACCTTTGCATCTCTCATGTGACAGGCAAAAAGCACAGACTGCATTATATGGTATGTATGTGGGGTTTTTTCGGTTTCTAAAAGAGGAAAATATGAGCTTATGTGCTCAAAATAACCTGTAGCTCTTGTCTAAATGTAGCAATATATTTTAACACCTTCATGACCTGCCCCACACCAGCTGATCCTATCAACAGGACCGGTGCTGCCGCCCACATCCCTTGTAAATACTGATTTCAAAGACACTTTTTCACTTCTAATTAATTCAAACTGGCTACAGCTTCGGTGAATTCGAAAGGAAATGAATTCTTCTGTGTTGAACAAGCAGTCAGAAAACGGATAATTTTGAATAAATCCGGACTGGCTTGAATGAGTGGTACTGCCATCGCATAAATATACGTTGGTGGTCCGATTCGGCCAGGCGCAGTTCATGCATAATTACGTCAGTGGTGGCGAGGGTGTTAATGCTTTCTGTTCATAATTTATCAAAATATTTTTACGGATATATTAACCCCAGGCCTGTAAATTTCTCTGATGTCTTTCCTTAAACAGTTAACTTCCTTTCCCTGAATATTTATTTCTCTTTTAAACATTTTCCACGTGAAGTGCTTGTCCTTTTCGCTATTTTATTTTGTTTCATTCAGTGAAGTTATTTGGTGGTTTTATGAAATATTATGCCAGATTTTCTCTCTTTGTGCTGTTGTCTTGGTTTGACTTCTCTAGGAAAGTTAGACAACATATATCCAGTAGGTATCACTTCTTTTCTGTCCCATTGAAGTTACTGTCTGTCATCTTTATTGTTTCCTGTCACTGTTGGGCTACCACTTCAATCATATGCCTGCAGGTGGTTGGAGCGTGCCAGCAGTAAGTCCTGTCATAATGATGTACTGTGATATATATGCATGTGTATGCCAGACTGTGAGACTGAAGAAATAGCGAGTGAGAATGAGAGAGAGAAAAAGAGAGAGATAGAGAGAGAAAAGAGAGAGAAAAGAGAGAGATAGCGAGAGAGGGAGAGAGAAAGAGAGAGATAGAGGGAGAGGGAGAGAGAGACAGACAGACAGACAGAGAGAGACAGACAGACAGAGAGAGAGAGATAGAGTGGAAATGTTTTTCTATCTGTATAGAATTAATGTTTTAATGAATGTTTCTAGTTACTCACGTTTCAACTGTATTTTGACTGTTCGTGAATTTATATATATTGCATTGTATATTTTTAGTGAACACATTTTCAACCTCACTGCGAGACTGTTTTTCTGGTATAAAATTTTACACATATGCATTTATATTATATGTATAATACTTTGTTTTACGTACACATTTGTGTCGATTAATTTTTAAGATGTGATGTCTTTTTCATTGTAATGCGCATTGAGCATCTTTTAGGAAATGGAAATGCGCAGTATAAATGCTATTTATTATTATTATTATTATTACTTCTTTTCTTTCTTGTGTCAGCTGTTTCTGTCTATCTGTCTTGCTTTTTCCCTGTACTAAATGACTTTTATTGTGTCAATGTACTTCTGTTTACTCTTCCTAAACTCAAATGATATGCGTGTCTCTGTCTTAACCAAGAATATTTTGCAAATAAAAATAATAATCCTGTTTTTTTCTTTCAGAAAGAGGCGCATCCAGTTCATTACGAGCATTTGAAACATTTCGGAGGCAAAAAGTCTCAGTTAGGGGCTTTCTTAGATGAAATCTGCCCTGATGTAGAAAAGTCTCATGGTAGGGGAACTCCAAAAGTCAAGGTATGTATTGGTAGTTGGTTGATTGCCTTTGATCACGAGGAACCCTTGATGATATGGCCCTGTCATAATTGTCTTATAAAGTCGAAGCACTGTCTTTAGGGAATGGGCCTAATTTGTAGTGGGATTTATTCTCAGAGAGCAAACTTATCTGGTATGGAATTAAGTTACTATTCTCAAATGTGAAAGTTATGTTGCCAAAGTTTTTTATAATTTGTATGAAATGTTGATTATGGAAAAATGCAGGTGCCCCATCATGAACCAACAAAATGTACCACCAAAGTTCCCGTTTTCACCCCTACCCAACCTTATGCTTTGCTAGGTATTGTTTTTATTTCTTTTGAATTTTAAAAAATATATATTTTTAGCGAAAGGAAAGTAAAGTTTAAAAAAAAAAAAAATTACCCAAAACATAACTGATGAGATACATGTAAAAGATATGTGGTTAAGTGGGATAATCTGCTGTGGACTATATCCGAGGTAAGGCAGGAGTAGCCTTAGGTATGGTGAATGCCTTTCCTGTCAAGGTACCTGGTTTGATTCTTTGTATCTTTTCACCTGAAGATTCCTTGGGTTCTTTTCCAACCAGTTTTCATAACCTTTATCCTGAAGGTCCCATATTATGACCTTTGGACTTGTAAGAGATGCCTTGGTAAATAAACCCTTACAGCGCTGGGCTGTTTTTAGCCTTCAGTCTTGTCCCTGGCCAAGTGGAAAATGACAGGTTGCTTCTTGAAAGGCAAGGGACATTACTTTTTTTGTAGGTAAATAGGCCTCCTGCATAAACATCACTTGTGCTGTGGATGAAATGGAAGAAAGAACCTCAAAGGTCTGACATTTAACAGAACTGCTTGAGTGATTACATTATAGTTGAAATTGTCCAAGACGGCCACCCATTGTTGAGGAGAAAAGTGGTCGTCTTAGACAGGTGGATGTCTAGGACAGTGTCATTTGTACAGGTGAACGTCTTGGACAGGTGATAGTTAGAGTAGGTTTGATTGTAACTGTTTTAAAATTAGCTCTTGGTGGGTACAAAAATTTTAATGTGAAATAATTCTAGAATATGTTTTTTGCAGATCTATGAAAAGGAAAGTCTGGCAGCAACTCCACAGATTTTTAATGAGGAGGAGAAAAGGCTCAACTTGAATCTAATTAACAGGAAGCAGCCAGGCAAAATGAGCTTTGATAATTGGGTAACTGAAGGTTAGTGGCTCTTCTGAAGAGTGAAATGTGTTTTTGACAGTCTCTGTGATAAAGTAAGTGTAGTCTTAATTAGTTGTCAGCTGGAAAGATTGTTTATAAGGAACTGGATCTCAAGAACCCATAACAGTTTCTTGCTGAGCTCATTTGTATTTGCTTTATCATGTGACTGGGGGGGGGGGGGGGGGTTGGATATGTGCTCAATTGTGATGCTTGCCTATACTTTTGCAGTTGTTAAAGGGTGTTGACTTGCAAAAGAAGGAATTTTGGGTTGGCCTTTCTGTTTAGAATTAGCTCATCTTTTCTTTAGTCAATAAAAACAGGTGGTTTGAGGACTCCACTGGTAGGTCCTACTTTTCTTTTCTTTCCCTTGGCTGTCTTTAACTTTCTCATACTTTTTCCATTGCAGTTGTAGTTAATGACTTATCATATTGGAATATTTTCTATTACACAAACACTCAAGCAAGATCAATGAAAGAAGACAATCACAGGAGGGAGGATGTCAGTTTTGGACTGATTTGTCAGTTGAATATTTTGATTTTTCACGTCTGTGGGACTAGAATTAAGGAAAGCGAAGTGGCAGTAAATTGAGCTTTTACTAGTGACCCATATGTTGACTCATATTGAGACAAGCATCAATGATGTTCCAATGTTTGCAGAAAATTCAGATCCCATGGGACGATATGTTTACCTTCCTTCTGATGACCTAGATTCAGATCCCTTGAAGAGAGTTTTCAAACCACCTTCTGATCCAGTGAAACGATACCTTGCCCTTTCTTCCACTGACCATGACTTAGATGCTTTACAAAGGTTTCTTTTTTCACCTTCTAATGACCTTGATTCAGATCCTCTTCTCGTCTGGGTTACTTTTATCTTGGCTTGTCCTTAGTTAGATATTACTGTCATTGAGCTTTTTCTTCAGACTCCACTGACTGGGTGGTTGATGGGTGCTGTGGTGTGGTTTGCTCCTTCTTTCTTATCAAACATCTATCGCCTTTATCTCTCTTCATTTTTATATGTTTTTTACTCCTTGTAACACCTCTAATCTTCAGCACTTATATGACCTAATTGCGTTGAAAGTGCTGTAAACCTCATTTTAAAACATAAAACAAAGAGACCACTGTAATGTGTAACTCAACTCAATTCCTGCAATATTTTGTATTTGGTTGTGTTCAGTCTTGCTCCTTAAGGTGCAGGTGCAGATGCAGGTTTGACCTCAGACATTTTAACAAATATATTTCTTTTTTCTTTATCAGCATTCTGTCCACTATGGGTTTTGTTTGGCAGTTCTGTCTTATTGGAAACAAGAATTTCTGAGTTACTTTTATCTATGAAATGTCTGAACACATCCGTGGGGCTTGGAACGTTACTTAATACTTGTCTGGCACAGCATTGATGTTTTAAATTATTGTTTTCTTTCCAAAGTAAATGCTTCTACAGTCTAGCGTGCACAGCAAATGCGCACGTAATGAAAGGTGCTAAAAGCGAACAGATGTTTAGGTCCTGATTTTCATCTTATGTATATCCTCTTTGCAATTAAAACGCATACATAGTAAAATTTGTACATAGCAAGACTATTCCCTTGCCACGCCAATTTCACCATGTGTGTGCTAGACTGTATGTTAAATTTTATGAAAGGAACAATTTTTTTCCCTGTCTGAAAAAGGTTGTTGCCAAATAGGCCTACTGAGAAAAGAAATTTGGAACGCGAAATGATTTACTTCTACTCCTAAAATGACTTCTTTTTTTTTTTCTTCTTTCGTTCAGAACTGGACAGGGCTCAAGCACCTCAAGGCTCCAAAGAGTAAGCAGTAACTTTATTTCCATATTACTGATAGTGCTTTATCACTGTTCATTAAAGGTTTTTGTTCTATTCCTCACCATGTCTGACATAGACATACAAGTTGTGCAAAAGATGCAATTGAATATATTTGTCTTTTTTATGAAATGCTTAGGTCACAACTTTGTGTGACCAGTCACTTTCTTATTCGGGTTTTATTCTCAATTCTATATAAACTTTTACTAAGGTAACATGGTTATCAAATAAAAATTCTAGTTCCAAATTTTTTTTTTTAATCTAAGAAGGAGTCTGGGCAAAAAAAATGTATAACTCATTCATTTAATTAAATGTGCTTGTACAGAAGTTTTAGAAGCCTGGCCTACGTCCACATCACTATGGGTTGTGAAAGACTGGAATGTGCTGCTGTCATTAACGACGATGACATACGACAGTTAATTTAGGAGCACTCTAAGCCAGAGGACCCAGTGCTCTACACAGATGGATCGGTCAGGAGGGGTGAGAGGAGTGGCTGGGGTTTTGTGGTGTATAGCGGGGACAAACAGGTTCAATACATGTCAGGGGCCGTAGAAAGAACAATTTCAAGTATAAAAGTGGAGATTGAAGTGTAACGAGCGCTAGTGCTGAGAGGAACTGAGCACTTATGGACCTGTCCGGTGTGCAATGACGTTATTGCCCAAGACAAGCAACAAGTAGTTCTACAAGATAACACTTTCTTTGTCCAATTGTCTGTAGGCTTTTGCAGCAGGCAATATATTTTTCTTTTTCAAATTTTGTTGTTTGCAGTTTCTTTTTTTAAAAATTTCTTGTGGTAAGTTATTCGAAATCGGAAATCTGTGAATGTTATTTTATATGCAGACACGATTAAATGTACTAAAAGGGTTGTTTTTGTTAGGGGGTGAAAAAGTGCTGGTCGTGTGCTTTTGAGGTTCAATTCTTGACAAGCTCCGAATTTGTCCCAATTCACTAGAAATATGAGCATTGCCACTCGTTTTCTCGTACTTACTTTGTCTTACGTTTTCGTCTGTGTGCTGACCTGTTTCTCTTTATCTGGGAAAAAAAGTTTCTGCCAATTTTTACCTTTGTGTTATATGTGAGGCTTCATGGTGAAATCAGGTACTTATCAAAATAATGAAATCGGAGAAACTGGTATTTTTCCTCTTTTGGCAGTTTTGATCACATTTTTTTTTGTTGGTCTCAATAACTATTACGTCCTTATAAAAACACATTAGCATGTGAATTTTATTGAAAAACATTGATTAATGGCACAAAATATGTAAATTTTCAGATTTCAAGGACTCTCAACAAACTTTAGAAGATACCAAACTTCGGCAGCCATTTTCTCACTACTTTTACCTCTCTGAAACCAGGCTACCCCACCTCCTTCAATCGCAAATATCTCAATGTCTGTTCAGGATAGATGTTTTAAAAAAAATAGAAATCAAAGCAAATGAATAAGCTTTCAGATGAAAGAAAAAACTCCACATGTCAAAAAATTGACGAGAGCCTGATTCCCTGCATTTTGAAACATATTCTTCTCTGTCTTTAATTATAGGGCAAAGAATCCTGACAATGAGGGAAAAAGTGATCCAATTCAAACTGAGCAAGATAGCAATATTGGTAAGTTTTGAGGAAATAGATTTACCCCTCGAAGTCTTACTGTTCTGGTTTATTGTTCTTTGAATTCAGTACTGATATTAAATGTATGTAGTCATTTCAACCAGATATTGTCATTTCTGTTTTGAAGATGCTGAAGGGAACAAATAAGTTGTTTTGATTTTTACAAATTAAAAAAATATTTTTGTTTTGTTTCTCCTCTTTTCCTACAATTATAACAGTTGCTGATTTTGTTCTCTCTCTCTTTGGGGGTTTGGGGGTTGCAATTTGGATTTTACAGAATTTATTCTGTATGTTTTTAAAGCTTCCACATGTGTTATGGTCGTTTGAAATTGTTCAGAAGTGCATATTGGTTCTTTCATTGTGTTGTAGCTGTATACAGTATAACACCGATAGGTCGAACACAGAACATTCGAAATCATGCATCCATCAAACTGCCTGTGGTTCCATTTTTTTTTTCTTCTTTATCTCTGTAAGATATCACTCGAACTACGGAGGCCCAACCCGGTGAATTCGAGCTATCTGTGTTATACTGTATATAATATGAGTGACAAAGGTGCTCTTTGCAATTTTATTTCAGGGATCCACCAAAGTTTTTTCTAAGTGGACAGAATAACTGAAAGACTACTTGGTATCTGTTTTGTTCAATACAATACACCTGTGTATTAGATATAAGTAAGGTCACATCAAAGCTGAGCAAGACTGATACATTAGCTAGAAATTATGAAGTCTATTAAAACATGTTTTATATGCACTGTAGAGTTATAAAATAAGATTATTTTGGTGACCAAGTCCTGAGGATACTACAAACACCTCTTCCAATTTTTTTTTTTTTCCCCCTGTGTGGCATGGTGGTATCATGGCGGGGAAGACAAACTGACCTCGCATGCCAGACGTGACCTGTAGTTAGCAGTTTGGTGACCTCTGCATAATTAGAGGGTTAGTTTTCTTATTAATCATTGATTTGAGAAGTGGCTAAGTAACACTCAGGGAGTCTCGTATAATGATGAAGTTTTTAAAAAAATCTTTTTCGACACACAGGTCATGCTGATGAGCATTCTGCGGCGGCTCAGGATCATGGAAAGGATTCGGGTGTGCCTTCAGAGACGAAAGACAAAGATTGGGAGGCAGGTCAGAGGAGTGGACCTCGCCCGTCTAGCCGGGATTTCCAGTATCGTGGAAGGGGTACAGGCGTGCCAGCAACGGATCATGATGGCCCCAGGCCTCGTGGTAGACCAGGCCCAGCGATGGATTATGATGGTCCTCCTGATTTTCATTACGATGAACGGCGCTCTTTTGAACCTCCTCCCAGGATGGAACCTCATCCCAGATGGGAACCTCACCGTGGGCGAGAACTTCATCCCAGGATGGAAGGCTTTCCTCCTCCTCCTCCTCCTCTTCCTCCTCCTCCTCCTCTTCCTCCTCATGACCCTTATTATGATAGAAGACCTCCTTATAGACCACCAAATGCAATTGACTATGACCCTGTTGGTATTTATCCTCCTCGAAGTGACCTGTACATTGATCCATACAAAGACCCATACAGAGACCCATATCGTGACCCATACCGTGACCCGTACTACCGAGATCCGTATCATCGTCCTCCACCACCACTTCCAGAAAATTCAGATCCCATGGGGCGATATGTTAAACTTCCTTCTGATGACCTAGATCCAGATCCTTTGAAGAGAGTTTTGAAACCACCTGCTGATCCAGTGAAACGGTACCTCGTCCCCCCTTCCAATGACCTTGACCCAGATCCTTTAAAAAGGTTTCTTGTTCCACCTTCTAATGACCTTGATCCAGATCCTCTTAAAAGGTTTTCAAAAGCCACCCCTGGCCACCTTAAGCAAGCTCCTGAGAGGCATGTTGTACCTCCTTCCAGATACCCTGAAAAAGAGCCTCTAAGAGGTCCCCCAGCAGACAGAAGAAGCAGAAATGTGAATGAGGAGACCCGTGTGTTTGACTACAGGCACGCCACCTCCTCAGACAAAGCCAAGTCGTCAGTGCAGCGAACAGCTGATAAATGGGAAGAAGACATTCAAAATATTTTGCGCCAGAGTAAAAAAAAAAAGAGTGGAGACTGCTTGTCAATCCTGAAGAACGCGTACTCCTCTCCCGAGAGCTCTCCGTCTCCTCCGCGAATCATCAAGACATCATCTCTGAAGGAGAAAGCCACTGAAAACAGAAACCTTCCTTTCTCAAAGTCATATTTAGAAACTTTGAAAGCAAAAGAGAAGTCCACTTCAAAGCCCGATGAGAGAAGAAACAGAGACTCTCCTTCATCAAGGAGACGGGAGACTGGTAAAACTGACAGGTCCAAGGATCGGGATGCTGCGGAGTATAAAAGATATCGTGACTCCTGGAGCCCAAGCTCAAGAAAAAAGAGAAGATACTCATCGAGGAGCCCAAGCCCAAGAGGGAAGGAAGCGATGTCGTCAAGAGGCTCTAGTCCACCCAGACGTCAGAGAAACAGCCCTGTACGTCATAAAGAGTCTGGTAGGCCTCGGTCTAGAAGTCCGAGGTCATCCAAAGGGAAGTCTCCAAGTCGGTCAGAGCGAAGAAAACTTCCTTTTGATTCGCAAAGAACTGAAGTTTTGCACAGTCGCCTTCAAGGGCCAGATCGCCTCTCTAGCCCGTCTCAGTCAAAGTCACGGAAACTGAAGGATAATGAAGGGATTCATCAGCAGAAGATAGCAAGTCCAGAATCTCAAAACTTGCACTCGAGACATAGATTGCCTCCTCAAGACTCACCTCCAGGACGTGAAGAGCAAGCTGGCCCATCCACTTCTCATGAAAGAAAGTCAAAAAGTGGTGATGGCAATGCCCAAGGCAAGGGAAACTCAGCTGATGAAAGAATGTTGGCAGGTCTAGAGGTAAATTAAGTTCTGTTGATGTATCAGAATGATACATTGGTCCTTTGTTTGTTTTTTTCATATGGAATTGTCTCTTTACATACTTCTGAAGGAGGGTTATTTAGTCAGATGGTATAAAAGGAGAGAGAGTGGGTGATGAGCCGAATCGAAATTCTTTATATTTATATACATACACATATATATATATATATACACACATGCACATACACACACTTTCTTTCTCTCCCTCTTTCTCTCTATCTCTTTCTCTCTCAGTGGGTGGTTGGTGGGTGCTCTGGTGTGGTTTGCTCCTTCTTTCCTATCAAATATCGTCCTTATCTCCCCTCCTTCTATTTTGTGTTTGTTATTCCCTTGTAACGCCTCTAATCTTCAGCACTTATCTGACCTTATTGTGTTGCATGTGCAGTAAAACTCTTACTTAAACTTTTTTTTTTTATGTCTCTCTCTCCCTCCCTCCCTCCCTCTCTAACTTCCTCCCTCCCTGCCTCTCTCTCTCTCTCTCTCTCTCTCTCTCTCTCTCTCTCTCTCTCTCTCTCTCTCTCTCTCTCTCTCTCTCTCTCTCTCTTTCACTCCCCCCCCCCCACCCCTTGGCACTCATATGACCATATGCAGTTGCGAGCCTCTACTAAAACTAAATCTCTCTCCTTCCCTCCCTCCTACACGCACTCACACACAACTACATTCATACATACATACACACACACACACACACACACACACACATACACACACACAGATGAATACATCTTAAGACTTCTGATGCAAATTTTTCTACAAATTTACATTTGTGCATGCTAAATTTTTTTTTTTTTAATTTCAGGATGAGGATGAAGATGCACAAGCTGAGGCTATTGCCATGAAGTTGCTAGAAATGGTGAGTCTGTCCTCAGAAACAGTTTGTGGCTTTAAGTACCTGATATTGTCGGACTGCAATAATTATCAACTGTCAGTCTTGCCTCACTTGTCATGAGTACAATGAATGTCGTGTTCACTGACATCAGATTCAGCAAGATTTCAGTGGACTCCCAAACTGGATTGAAACCCCCAGGTGATTTTTTAAATCCATTTATTTCAAGAAAATGCCTTGCATCTTCACTGGACCCTTCTACGAGCTACCTCCAACCTTACTAAATAGCTTGCACTTTGGGCAGCCCTATCTGATGCATCCTCAGACGTTTTTTTCCCAAAAAAAAACCCTAACAACAGTGGTAATCATGGCTGACACCTGATTAATGACCAACACGTGTGTAGTGACTGAACTAACCTTTGTCTTTGTGAAAAATAAGATGATCATGTGTAAGGATCACCGAGCTGCTTTATATTTTTCGCTGTACTCAGAGTGGAAGGGATAATAGTGATAGATTAACCCTTAAAACCCTGAATTCTTTTTTTTTATACCTCCCTAGAATCTTGAATTAAAATTGAGATACTAGAAAAAATTAGGTTGGTTCATTGTTTTATTTACTGTGTCTTTAATTGTTGTTAGATTTTATTGAACTTTGAAAATGTTATTTATATATAAATGTACAGTCTGAACAAAAAGGGAAAAGGTTAAAATACTGGTTTTTAGGACCAACTCTATGAGTTAAGACTTGTGTATGATCCCTTGACCACTTCAGTCAAAGCATCATTAGACTCAGCCGTAGATCTAGCCTCTGGTAGCTCAAGTGGTGATCCCCTGCCACTTCCACTATCAATCAAAATCATCATCAATGTCATGCGGAACATTGCAATTGTCTTCAACTGTCATATTTATCGATATATATCCGACTGGGAGATCCTTATTGGGGTCTGGTTCAGGATCAAAAATGTCAAAAATTTTGCGGCCTGAAGGGCCTGGCAGCGAAAAGTGACTAATTTTTCTTTAAAACTCACAAAATTTCCTAACTTTCGGTACTGCTCTCATGACATTATCAGTACTTTCTGCTGGCAACAGAGTCATCTGGAGTTGCATCCCCTGTTTCTAGCACTGGGAATTAAACGATAAAGTTGACCACTGGTTGCCAGCGGTATAGGAAAATACAGCGTCAGCGGTTACCAGCGGAATAGGGTTTTAAGGGTTAAAGTCAGTACTTTCGTCTAGCAGCTTACTACATCTATGTTGAGGTATATTTTGTGAAGACTCGATACTGACGTCACTTTTTGTTTCAAAAGAGTAGGAATAGACATTAAAGAGGTGATAGCTTTGAAATTCTTTAAAGGATTAACCTCTTGTTGTCTGCTTTCTAAAACTGACAACTTGCATATATGAAAGGAACTATGGTTCTTCAATATTTCCCCTGTCTCTTTTGTTTTCACAGTCAAGTGCAATAGGAAAAAATTTGGATCCGAATGCAGCTTTGCAGGCACTGATTGCAAATCCAGAAGTAGCAAATGCCCTTCTGTCTGCAAGATTGAAACCAAAACAAGTGCCGGTAAGGTTGTTTGGTGTTTTTTTTTAAACTTCTAATATTCTCATGTTTATTTATTTTTGTTGAATACCTTCATTCTTTGCCATGTCAAAAGGCCGAGGGCTAGAACCTAGATGGCTGCTGGATCAAAAAAGTAAAGTAAGTAAAGTTGAGTACCTTCAAGGGACCAAGTGCCTCAACCATTAATGTCCCATTTTCGTGGCTTCAAAAGGGCAACAAAAACTAAACAGAATGAAATGGTTGTCTGAACTTTAAAAAATAGAGGGAAAGAGATGCTGCTGTGTGAAAATGAGTTGGACATCGGTGTTTGTTCACTTTATACATTCTTGCAGACACAACCAAAATCTTTCAAAGTGAACAGATTTTCAGGTCCAGAATATTCTGCTTATACAGTCGAACCTGCCTTAACTAAGGGTGGAACCAAAGGATGTGTTCAGACGTTTCTGTGTTTAATAGGTCAAACAGTGGTCCTATGAAAGGCAAGCACTGGTGGTAATTGGATACGTAAGACTGGCGCTTTTCACTATCAGACAGGATAGCAGCTGAGAGGTGTGAAGTTTTGACCACTGTTTGCCGATCGGACAAGCGATCCTTGATCCCACTGGCTGGGCCTTTGAACCTCCACCTCCCCCCTAAATTCCCATGTCTAAGACGAAATTTTTGTCCCGCTCCCTTGCGATTCCGTGTTACACAGGTTCGACTGTATATATAATATATATTTTCTGTTCAAACTTGCAGAGCGTGAACAAGTAATACATAGCAAAAAGAATTGTGTCAGTGAAGGTAGATCTAATTAATAAACACGTCCACAAATTCCTTGTATTGAAGTTGCTATAAATAGAGAGAGAGAAAGAGACCGTGTGGGCTTGGTACATGTATGAATGTAGACCAAGATGCAGAGGGCAATGGTGTTAGCTAAGGACGTGCCCATACATCACAGGCCTGCACACTTCAGTTGCATGTGAAGTCGTGTGAAGACACATAGGCCGTGGGTGGTTGGCGAGTGCTCTGGTGTGGTTTGCTCCTTTCTTTTCTATCAAACATCTATCTTGTTTATCTCTGCTCCTTTTTTGTGTTTGTTACTCTCTTGTAACACCTCTAATCTTCGGCTCTTATACTTACATGTGTCACAACATATATTTGCAATTGAAGGAGATGGGGTCGCCTGGTTTGAGAAGTACAATTAGTGTGAAAATGGCCACCAAAGTTTGTTGACTTCCATAAGCTTAAGAGTCCTTGGAAACTGCAAATTTATATTTTTGTGCCTTTAATCAATGTTTTTCCGTAAAATCCACACACAAAGTATTTTTCAATGGACGTACAAGGCGTTGAGCCAAGAAACAAAAATTTTTATTTAAAATTCCAAACTGGCTGAAAAATGCCAATTTCTCAGTTCTCATTATTTTGACGAGAGCCTGATTTCACCACGATGCCTCACATATGACCTTATTGTGTTGCAAATGCAGTAAAACACTTACTAAAAAAAGTTTAGGTTTTTTTTTTAAAGCACATAGGATTTTCCTGTATGGTCTCCGCGTGTGTCATGGCACTTCCTTTTTACACAGTATGTACAGCTTACTGGCATTCCGCAAAGTTAGGTCTCTGTGAAATCATTGTTGAAAGTGGACCGTGGCAGAGCAAAAGAAGTGGAAAGGCTTCTTGGTTGAGGAAAAATGGCTGATCCTAGCTGAGGTAGGAAAAAAAAATAAATGGGGAAAGAACCTTATCTGCAAATCTAAATATTCCAAGCAACTATGAACTGAATTATGCATGTTGAGGAGACTTACAGACTTTCTTATTCATGTAATGTTTTGATCCAGTTTTCCTGCCTGGCTTATTTGTCTTTGTATAGACTGAAATTCTTACGTATTGAAGATTTCTGTGCCCCTGAGAATTTTGCCTATGGGTTACCACACTTCTATTACTTTTAGAATGAAAGATTGACCATGTTTCAGTTCTACTTTGTTTGTATACTCGCACTAGACATTTTCATAAGTAAGCTTCACACAATAGCCCATACTTAGAAAAGTGGTAACCTAATGCTGTGTAAAAATTAGTGGAAGATTTCTTATCGTAGGTCTAGATCTATTCTAGCTGTGAAAATGATTCAGCTCGGCGGCTTTCACTATTCATCTTGGAGAATTCTCTTCTGATGATGATTCAGGTTAATAGAAAAACAACAAGCCCGAAACGGGGGTCTTTTTTTCTTTCATCCGTGCTCAGAGCTGTCAGTTACAAAGTTGGGTTCCGACTCTTGGCCTCTTACTCTCTCAATCCTCTGACCGAGATATATCGGTTAGTCCTATAGTTTTGTTCAGTATACTAGTTATAACTAGTTATGCTCGTTTCGGAAAACGGACTCAAGTTTTATATAAAGTCAATTTATTATTTCTCCGGCCATTTCTGCCTAGAGGAGTGCTGGAATTTTGTTTCTACTGTCATTACACATGGACAAATCGTGGTTTTAAAAAAGGCACTTTCAGCACTTTTGTTCACACTTATCAGCTGAGCATGTCTCGCAATTCAACAGTCTTTATTATACATGACATACAATACATAGATCTAGACACTCACAAGCCTATTTGAATATCAATGTGGGCTTGCTCTTGCTCACTCGGCCATGGAAAAAAAATTATAGGCCCCCAAAAATGTCAAATTTGTACAACACTCCAAAGGAAAACTACCGAAGCTACGTACTTCAAATTTGGTACGTCTAAAGATCCATCTTAGGCTGTACTTTGTCCCAAATCCCACAGCAATTGGAATATATTTTTGGTTACCAGTGGGTCCTCACACAAGTGCCAAAATGACCAGTTTCTGGGTACAATTTTGGGAAAAACTCCCGGGATTCAGTGAGTTAATATGTGTTTCCAATGCTACATCCTCACACAAAATTAAATAACCATGCACACATGCACCCTCACAAGCACAAATGAGAAAAGTTGAGAGTGCCATTCTTCTGATATTCACGGGTCTCAATGTTCTGCTATTTATTTCTGCTACCGCCGTTTCCTCCGCTAAGCTCCGTTAGCTAAGCTCCGTTAGCGTTACTTTTTTACTTTAAATTATCTTCCAAACCCTCAAATTGGTATGAAATAACCTAGCTTTGATAAATTGGTGGTTTTTATTTCAGCATTTTAGGGTTAAGCAGTATAATGATAATGGGTGTCTCGCAAAAATGGTCTTCTGTCGTGATCACGACGAAAGTTCCTCCTTTTTTAACATTCTGAGTTGAGACCAATGGATATTATATTTCTTGATACTTGGACCACTCAGCCCAGTATTTAAAATAAATCGTTTAAACTCATATTTCCATTTGAGACAAATCTGTTAAAATTAACAGTAGAAAAAGTCTTTTTAATGTCCCCCAGTATGAAACAAGAAAAAAAAAAAATGTTTTTAGCTCTTTGAGAGTTGTGTGAAATCATGATACTTTGGGACCACTGGGTCCGATCAGACCAGCTTTGTACCACATGGGGGGTTAAGATCAAATTTCGTAAATTTATTTTTAGGTAACTTTAAGAGTGTCTCAAGCTTTCTTAATATCTTCTGTCCAAAGGAAGCCCAAAGAGCTGGAAGTTCAGGTCCCGCCCCTCCAGGTTCAGCTCGCAGCAAGTCACCCTCTAGCCCCGCGAGACGTCCCAGTCCACCACAAAGGAAGCCAGCTCGTCCACTGAGGGATAGAGTTGTGTTTGGCTTCTCTGAGTCTGCTAGAATGACAAGTCGCCCACTTCCTAATGCTCTCTCTGCCACTTTTGGTGATGATGATGATGATGATGAATAGGATTGAATGTATATCCAAGTTTTTTTGTTGTTTTTTTTTAAATAAAAGTGAAGAGAGTGGTGAAGATGTCTGAATTAAAATGTTTGAGTTTGAGAAGTAAAATTGAAGAGAGATGTAGTGTGTACAAGAAAGCTGTATCTATCTATATTGTATATATATTGTTTGTACATATATTTGCCTACTGATTGAAGTATGTCCACTTTGTTTTCATTTTATGTATGTCATACATGATGTATTTGTTACTGTGGCATCGGGATGGAGTTGCATTTCATGAATTTTGTAGATGACTAGTTACGGTCTGGCACTAGGCCAAGACAAAAAAAAGTGCATCTCTGTTTTTGATTGTTGGCCTTCCATCACTTACAGCACTAGCTGTTGTTGGGCCAGACTTAATCCTACATCATCATAATGGCAGTGAGGAAAAAAAGACATCTAGACATCTTCTCTTTTGATGCTGAATAGATTTCTAAATTTGGAAAATCCAACAAGAGCTAAAAAATCAATATTAGCTATCAGCACGGCATTACTCCAATTTTTAGACTTTGTACTTTGTTCCTATGTAATTTATGATTACTCTACCTCTTATATTCCCTGACAGTGCATTCCTTACCTTCAGTTTGTTGTTTGAGTAAAGAGAAGCACACAATATTGGTCAGTTAGTAGTTAGTGCAAGGAAAAGATAAGACGGACTGACAGAAACAGTTCAGTGTCCTCAGTCTCAACAAACTCAGTCATCTCTGACCGTATAATGCATTTGTGTTATCGCCATTATATAATCATTATTATTATTATTGTCTTACGCCCCTCAGAAGCTTTGGTCACTATGAGTAGTATACAAGAACAGCGAATGACTCTAGAGTTAAAATGCTAGTAAAATGCTCTAGTTATTTCATTTTGACTGTGAACAGTCAGACCTCCTTGCGGTCCCAGCTTCAAATGCCCTTAGATCAAGAAAGAGGTATGCTTAAAGTTTTCCTCGTTTGCATACTGATACTGATAAGCCTCACCATCCTGAGATTATTAAGATATTCTTTTATAAAGCTAAATTTTAAATACAGTGGAATCCACTCAAACCGAACACAGTTAATCCAAAAACAGCAGTAAACAGAATGAAGATGAAACTATTTTTGAATCCCTCAATTTTTTTCCTTCTATATATGAGTATTTATGAGCAACCTTTTTGAAAAGAAAACCCACCTAAACTGAGAAAATCTGGCTCTCCTGCAGATTTCGGTTTAAGGAGATTCCACTGTACATAGTAAAGCAATGAGATTACTGCTTTGTGAGTATGAGATGAGTATAATATAATTATGCTGAGGAGTGTAGTTCGTGACTTGTAACTGAAGAGTGCTTGACTGAAACTGAAAAGCTTTGAAGTTCAGTGTGATTTACACTTGTTGTCATGCCACTGTTATTTATTCAACTAAATATCTATTGTGGTCATTACCATGTTGAAACTCTGTTAATACTTCTGTCAAATAAAGTGTTGAATTCATGTGTAAGAAAGAGGTTAATCGTTTTTGTTTTTATATATATGAATCTGGTTGTTAACATTTGTATCGAGATGCTGGGTTGTAGCAAGAGAATATCAGTGACTGTTACAAAACATTTATTTGGTAGCAAACTATGTGAGTGGGTGGTTGGCGGGTGCTCTGGTGTGGTTTGCTTCTTTTTTCCTATGAAACATCTATCGTCCTTATCTCCCCTTCTTCTTTTTTATGTTTGTTACTCTCTTGTAACACCTCTAATCTTCTGGCGCTCATATGACCTTATGCAGTTGTGAGCGCCGTAAAACCTCTACTAAAACTTTAAAAAACTAAACTATGTGATATGTCACGTGTTTGCTTT